AAATCTGGCTAGACCAGAGCACATGCACGGGTACAGAAAAGAGCTGGAAACGCAGGGAATACAGGACAGATAAACTCCTCAGAACCAATATTGAGAGTAGCCATACCAGGGTAAGGGGAAGGTTGGGGGAGGAAAGGGGAACTGATCACAATGACCTACCTATAACCCACTCACAGGGGGATGGACAAAAGATAAGGGGGTAAAGGGAGACATCAACAATGCAAGACATGGACAAATAATAATTTATAAATTATCAAGGGTTCATGAGGGAGGGAGGGGAAAAATTAGGTGTTGATACCAAAAGCTCAAGTAGAAAGAAAATGTTTCGAAAACGATGGCAACAGATGTACAAATGTGCTTGACACAATGGATGGATGGATGGATTTTGATGAGTTGTATGAGCCCCCAATAAAATGACTTTTTCAAAAAGATGTTCCAGAGCTTAGGAATAAATAAAATAGAGTGATTAGATGAATGCTCAGGAGGATGTGTGTGATAAAGCCCAGACAGCAAAACATTAATAGTTATAGAATCTACTTAGTGGCAGAGGAATACTCCCTGTATAAATCTTTGTTTTTCATAATTAAATATTAGGGTCATAGAATTATGCCTCCATATCAGATCTCTATTGAGATCCTGATCTTTATAAACTAACATCAACAAAATTGTCCTTTATTCTCAAAGACTTTCATTTCTTATGATTCGAGTTTCATGCATTCATTTGACAAACGGTGAAGGATGATTCTTACAATTTAGCTTAAGTAGCTGTGTGGATAATTATGGAAAAATAAGCACAGGTCAAGTTTTGGAGTGGAGAATATTCTGTATTCATTCATCTGAGAATGCCTTTCAGCTTCCCCACATGCATGGACATTGAATAAGATAGACCAAGGAAGAATTGATGCATTTGAATTGTGGTGTCTGGTGAAAAACATTGAAAATACCATGGACTACTAAAAGGACAAACAAATATGTCTGGAAAGATGTACAGAGTGCTCCCTAGAGGCAAGGATGGCAAGATTTCACCTTACATACTTTGGACATATTAGCAGGAGAGACCAGTCCCTGAAGAAGGACATCATGCTTAGTAAAGTGAAAGGGCATCGATAAAGAAGGAGGTCCTCAATGAGACGGATGGGCACAGTGGCTACATCAAGGGGCTCAGGCATAGGAGCAATTGTGAGGATGGTGCAGGACTGTGCAATGTTCTGTTCTGTTGTGCATAAGGTCACTAACGGCACCTAACAAACAACAGTAATACCTCATTTGTTTTACATTAAATAAGTGAGATGACACATATAAAGTGCTTCGATGGTAGCTGGCATGTAGTAAGAGTTTGTATAACTTATCTAGCATGTTAATAATTATCATTATCTTCAAAGATTTAACCTCTGGGTCTATGTTGAAATACATCACATTTCTTAAAGAGCATTTGGACTAAGACCTCACTACTGACCTCACGTCAACACTGAAATGTTGTTACCTCAGACCTTATCATGCCAATGCAATAGCAATTCTTAATTCTTATGTGGCTTAATCTCTGTGGTCTTGTATAGATGTTGGTCACTCCCGTTTTGGATTCCCCAAGCTGTTCTTCCTCACTTCTTGCTCACTTATTGATGTCTTTCTTTTTAATCTTTTTAATCATCAACACTTTGATTTCAATTACCCCAGCTTGCAAGCTTTTCCTTTTAGGCCAGCTTCGTTTCCAGTATTAGTGGATATACAAGGGTCATTAAATAAAGGACAAGTCATCCTACTTTCTTAAAGAGTTACAACCTCAGAAACTCACAGGGGTAGTTCTACCCTGTCCTGTAGTGTTGTAATGAGTCAGCGTTAACTCACTGGAGTCAGGCTTTTCTTGATTGTTTTTATATACAGATGGCACCCTAAAATATGCCCCCAGTGATGGCGATATCCCCTATCGTTTTATAGGTTTGAGGTATATATATGTATGCACTTGTCAAAATGTACAACATAATATAAATATAAGAGGTGGACAATTCATTGGATACATTTCATTTTATATTCACTTTCAATAAATATTAAACTGCAGTTAATGATATCCCTGATGAATTAGGAGTAAAGTGTTCTGATGCTTGTGACTTACTTTGAAATGCATCATAAAATAAATAATTTTT